CGGCCTGGTTTGATGTTAGTAATGTGTAGAAGCTTATTTTATTTCACTAAATTTATGTTCTACTTGATTGTAATAAAACCTATAAGTTGTTGGCATCTGTCTGTCTCGGGACACAATGAAGGAGTGTGTCTTTGGGGGAGAGTTACAGTTGCAGAGTTACAGTGCCTCCTGTGTCTGTAGAGACGGATACAGGAGAGACATGTTTTGTTGCAGCTGGGGCAGATGAGGGCGTCCGGTTGTGCTGCTGCAGATGCACCATTTATTTTCTCTGTGCTCCTCCCCTTGGTCATTCCTCCTCTGGTCACTGATGTGGATACATGATCTGGCTGTTTGTCTCCAGGCACTGAGGTCGTCTGCAGGGGGTCCCCAGATGGTGGGGTTGATGTTTCCAGCCTTCATGTCTTGTCATATCTTTGTAATGCTGAGTTGGTCTGCCATTGGCCTGGTGCCTGAAGGCAGTTCCCCGTACAGCACATCCTTGGGGATCCTGCCATTCCTCCATTTTGTGGACATGACGAAGCCAGCACAGACATCCCTGAGACAGGAGTGCAAACATGCTGGGAATGTGGGATTGGGAAAACACATCTTTGTTTGAGACTCCATCCTGCCATGTGATGCAAACCTCTAAATGTTTTACCAAAACAACAACAACCCACCATTACATTTATTAAGAAAAGGCAGTTGAAACAGGTATTTAAAAACATTCGAAAGATAATTGAAAGCAGCACTAAGCTAAAGAGTGATTAAAACATGTATATGGTATCTGAAGAAGTGTGCATGCACACAAAAAGCTCATACTGTACCAATAATAAACTTAGTTGGTCTCTAAGGTGCTACTGGGGGACGCGGGTGGCGCTGTGGGTAAAAGCCTCGGCGCCTAGGGCTTGCCGATCGAAAGGTCGGCGGTTCGAATCCCCGTGGCGGGGTGCGCTCCCGTTGTTCGGTCCCAGCGCCTGCCAACCTAGCAGTTCGAAAGCACCCCCGGGTGCAAGTAGATAAATAGGGACCGCTTACTGGCGGGAAGGTAAACGGCGTTTCCGTGTGCTGCGCTGGCTCGCCAGATGCAGTTTGTCACGCTGGCCACGTGACCCGGAAGTGTCTCCGGACAGCGCTGGCCCCCGGCCTCTTGAGTGAGATGGGCGCACAACCCCACAGTCTGTCAAGACTGGCCCGTACGGGCAGGGGTACCTTTACCTTTACCTTAAGGTGCTACTGGAAGGAATTTTTTAATTTTGTTTCGACTACGGCAGACCAACACGGCTACCTACCTGTAACTAGAACATGTATAACGTTCTACATATCTGGATAGGCTTGCCTAAACAAAAGTGCCAAAAAGAGTACAGCAAAGGTGCCTGCCTGATGTCTATAGGCAAGGAGTTCCAAAGTGTGGATACTGCCGCACGAAAATATCAATTTCTTACAGGTGCAGTGAATATCATGTGGTAACTGTAACAGTGCCAGTTCTGCAGTTCAAAGTGGTTCACTGGGGACATATGAGGTCAGGCAATCCAGCAAGTAACAATTTGTCCATGTAGGCTAGTATTTCCTACTCTGACTGGCAGTGACTGTCAAGACTCCTGGACATTTTAAGTGGAGATAAGGATTAGATTAGAAGTTGCCCTAATCGTTTTGTTGGTTCCCACGCCAGTGTGAGCTGCCAGGCGGTAAGAGGTAACACAGTCATTCTGAGCCTCCTTCACACATTGCTGAAGCAACATGGGAGCCAGTCCATTGAGCTGTCCTGGGACTTGCCACACAGCTGTGGCTACAAATGAAATAGAGCTGAGTCACAGCAAAAGGTGGAGAGGAGCATAAGGAACTGAAAGGTGCAGAGGAACGTCTGAAGGCTAGTGCCAGAAGGAAAGCCCGTTCCAGGCACACATAGACTGGGCTCTTCCAGCCAGTAAGTCAGCAGGGATGGTGCTCCAGCACTGATTAGAGCTCATCTGGACATTTAAGTGCTGCCAAAGAAGAAGAAGAAGAAGAGTTTGGATTTGATATCCTGCTTTATCACTACCCGAAGGAGTCTCAAAGCGGCTAACATTCTCCTTTCCCTTCCTCCCCCACAACAAACACCCAATGAGGTGAGTAGGGCTGAGAGACTTCAAAGAAGTGTGACTAGCCCAAGGTCTCCCAGCAGCTGCATGTGGAGGAGCGGAGACGTGAACCCGGTTCACCAGATTACGAGTCTATCACTCTTAACCACTACTCCACACTGGCTCTCAGAGGAAGGAACACTAATGCAAAGGGAAATGACATCAGATGGGGAAATGTAGGGAACCCAGCCCCTCCACTCCACAGAGCAAAACACTCTTAACCACACAGCCACAAGAGCAGGCAGCAGGAAGGGCCCCTGGTGTAATCTTCCAGGGCCAAACCCAGATATGGCCTCCTTCCTTCCTCTTGCCCTATGCATAGGCAGATTCCCAGCCATATATTATGATGGAACTGTGTGTGTGATCACAGCAAGCCAAAGGCTTTAAGTGCTGAAACCACGTCTACAGATTTCAAAGAGAAAAGACTGGGAAGAACCAAACAGAGAAGTAAGGGAAGCTTTCAGAATGGCCAACACAATGACTATAACTCAATGATAGAGCACATACCGTACTTTGCATGTAAAAAGTCCCAGGCTGAATCTTTGACACCTCCAACTAGTGCTGGGGGAGACCCCTGCCGAGCTGCTGCCAGTTAGTGTAGGCATTTCTGAGTTAGAAGGACCATTCATTTGACTTTGCATGAGGCAGCTTTCTGTGTTCCACTCAGGAAGCAGCAGGTAAGTAAAGTCTGCCATTGTGAGAAAAGCTTGGTGCAGTTTATCTCACAGTAATATTAATTTAAAAGGCTGGGCAAAAGTCAACAGAAATTTCGCAGTGTGATAATTTTGTATTATTGCTGTGTGTCGTACAGCCACAGCCCTTTGAAGTACTGTTCGAGTAAACTGCAGCGATTGTAAATACTTTGCTGGGTACTGTGGACCGTATCAGTGAAGTGCACCTAATTCCCATGGAAATTAGCTGTATTTTTATGAGTTTGGGGTGGTAAACTGGGTGCCAGAACTCCTCTAATCCCTGGATCCAGCAAGTGTTAGAATGTAATCAAGGCTTTTAATTCTTGGAAAAGCCAAGCTAGCCTCCTGGTGAGGTGATAGCTTGGGTGATGAGCCATTAAAGGGGATTAAGGTGCTGGATGCAAGGCAGCACATGGGCAGGCCCCTCTCCCTCAGGAGATAAAGCCAGAGTTTGGAGCAGAGGTAGCAGTGATGGGACCTAGGAAGGAAAGCAGCAAGCTGGAGAAAGAGAGGGAGAGCAATGTTTGGTTTTTGTTCGATCCAAGGCTGTGGCTATGGGAGAAGCAAGACCCTTTGGGGTGTTAATGCTGTGAACCCCTTCATAGTAGGTTCAGGTTGTGTAAATGAACCATATTTCATAAAGACACCACAGTCTCCGCTGTGCCTCTTTCCCAAAAGGAAACACGAACCCTGGGTAATCGCCTGAAATCTCACAGCGCTCCATGACTGGGGTGGGGTGCAACAGTATTGTGTTTTTTCTGTAACTCACTTTGAGAGCCAGAGTTGAGCTAATTAAGGAGGGTATCATTAATATTAGAACAAATAAAGAATGTAACTTGCATCTGGATTCCACTCAGAGAGCAGAGCTAAAGGCAGATTAGGGGTCAGATTATGAGTCAAATATTGAGTATTCATACTAGATTTGCTTGAGAGCTGTTTCGGGAAGAATATATTATGCTAGGACTATGAAGCACTTTACTTCCCCCTTTGGAAACTGAAGTAGTAGGCATCTCTGACTCTGAGCAAAAGCTGGAGAAGATTGACTCTCACAGATACCCACATTCGTAACTTTCACAAAAAATTTTAATATTACCTTCCATTCACTGAAGGTGAATGTAACCATCATTTTCACAACCATCGTTCACTACGTAGGCCATCCTGAACCACATTGCAGTAGTGGCTCAGGTATGCATACTAAAAATAATAAACTACTGGTATATAGACACAGGTGCAGTCCACCGAAAGCTACAAGACTAAATTCATTTTCCAAAGGAGATCCTATGAAGGTAATAAATTGCTGTTTGCTTATTTGCCCTATGTCCAGAGCAGAAATCAAAACAGAGAATACAATCAGTATTTGCTGCTGCTGTTTTCAGCCTACCAATGATATGTTGTTGATTACTTTCCCCCCTATTTGTATTGCGTTTTCTTTGCACTGAAATGAATTATCTTTGCATTGAAATGAATAGTGTGAATAATGTACTTAATTACATAATTACATAAAATTTCACCACAGTGGACAGTGAGAGAAATAGTGTGGTTTTTATTGGACACCAACTTGCATCAGAAGAGAAACAGTGGTGTATGGGAAGAACATGGGTTGGAACAGAAATACATCCCAGCTTAGAACTAATATACATTATACACAACTCAATCTTATGCATTTTTCTTAGGAAATAAGTCTCACTGATGTCAATTGGACTTACTCCTTACGTACAAGACAATGCTAGTACAAGACAATTAATATTTAAATATTAATTCATTCTAAAAGGCATTTAGGGTCATAATGAAACTACTGTAGATTGGAAATTTAGGCTTTTCAAGAAGACGCAGCTTGCTAGGGCATTAAAAGTTAGTCATTTGTTGGGATCTTATGCCTTTGTAGCCTTGTTCAGACTGACATTGGGGACTGGTTTACAGTCCTTTGCTGTGAACTTTGAGCTTGAATTCCTGCTCCACCACTGTAATAAGCATTGGTGTCTGCACATGGATGCTGTGGGATAAATGTGCAGAATCCCAAGGGTCATTCTGTTACCCTGCCACATACATAACCAGGCCATGTGTGAACTAAGCCCTCGTGTAAAACTTGTCAAGTTAATGTTTGTTTTGTATCAATTATATTCCCTTTTTATTTTTGTGTAATATGTTCAGATAAATGCTGTTAACATGGTCTGACACAGGGGCAGAAATCTTAAACACTGTTTTCATTTAGCAGGCTTCAGCAACCGAGACAGAAATTGGGCCCATGAGGCTGACACAAGATCCTATTCAGGTAGGACATTTTTTCATTTTAGTAATAACTATTAAGTTCAGTATTAAGGTTCAACTAACTGCTACAATCCTTCAGCTCAGGAAAATACACAGGTTAAACCATACATTTTTCTGCATGGATTGGATATTATCCCCAGAACAGACTTATGGAGCACGCAAGGAGAGGAGAAGGGAGTTCTGTGGCACAGATTTTGTGGAACTACTTTAGTGGATACCACCTCCAGCATTAGCATTAAAACAACTGCAGATTTGTACTTTCCATCTTCAGTTCTTAGTCTCCAGCATCATCCCAGAGTCAGGCCCTCTCTCAATATGTGGAAGTTGTACTTCTGGCTGTCAGGACAAGTAGCCAAAGACTGACCTATCCAGTATCTTTTTCATTATAGGCCATAATATTCTGCAGCAACAAATTTCACTGGGTAATTGCCTGTGGTATAGAAAAGTACTTAAACCTCTGGCTTTCAATTTTAATGGCGAGTGCTGAAGTTTTGTATTCTGAGAGAAGGAATTAACTTTTTTACTTGCTTGCCATCTGTCAAGCAGAGCTGCCATATTTCTGTTTTAATTAATCTTCCTGAGAGCCAATCCACATAGTCAGGGCACGGAGTGGGAGAGTCTGTCTGGGACAATTTAGTTTCAGAATGCAGGTGGCAAGTGGCATGTTTGGATATCTCCCTGACCGCTCACTCCCTGTGAGAAGGTAGCATGGAAGGGGTGGGGGATAAGAAGGCTAGAGCAGGTTTTGGCCCTGAAGCCTGAGCATTTGCTACCAAGACATTGAATCGCACATGGTTCTAATGCTTTCTAAAGGAATTCCTTCGTTCCACAGATTCAAGAGCTATTTACTAGGTGTGACTGGTCTGTACAGAAAGAACCAGTTATAGCAAAGTTTTAAAAAGATAGAACTTTTCTGCCTACTTAAGTTTCACGTGCCATACTGGCTTGTCTTAGAACTTTTTGAAGTACATTAATAGTCTACAGCCACAAGCACTCAGCTTTCTTAACAGATTAGTCATACACTGACGTTTGTGGTGGTGCAACAGTTGTATTAATCATCATCTCACTTATTGTTAGGAAGTCAGCACTTCAGATAGCTTTAGATAACACAAAATCAAGGTCACCTTGCCAACCTGCATATTAAATGCATTGACTTTCATATGGTGACGCCATGGCAAAGCACAGTCGTCAGAAACCAGCTAAAGAGAACAAAACTTTCTTTCCTTAACCTATACACAGGATGTCCCAAGGATACTAACAGGACAATCTATTCATATGAAATAAACTGAACTTTGAAACTCTGTACATTTTATGCTAAAAGAGTTCTAGCTGGGTACTTTGAACAGTTCTTGTCAATTTTTTTATAAACAATGAATCTTTTCTTTCTTGTATTATATTTATTCTAAAGCAAACATGCTGCACGACCCACTAGATCTGCCACTGTTGGAGCATCAGTGCCAGCATTGGCACTGGTTTCAGGCACAGATCTTGTGGATTTCAAGTGAGATCTTATGCAGTTTTGGTGAGATGTTGTCTAAAATTAGTGCCAATGGTGGAGTGGGGGGTAGCCACAGGAACACCACATCAGGGGCTCCCACTACCTGAGATGATGGTCTAACCCCACCTAATGGCTGACCCGGCCCTGGCGATTGCTGTGATTTAATAATTTGTGTATATTTCAAAACAGAGCAGTTCAATTTCCTATGTTGCTATATAAATTTGAAAACGACTAGTAAATGTCACAAAGATGACAACATATTTCCTTCTTAAAGCGCTCTCGTGAAAAATCATGAATTATTTACAGTGTTGCTTTCTCACTCAGCACATCAAAAAGCAGTTCTCATCTTGTCACTGCCTTGGGATTGGCAGATCTACCACAGAGACACTACAGAAATGTACAGACATTTGAGCGCACATAATTCTTTAAAGATGCATGAGTGACAACCCTTGGAAGCAGAAAATCCACAAAAGTATCTATAATATGGCCATTTGGGCACTGTATGTACAGTTCTGAATGGGAGTTGTGGTGACATGATATGGAGTATTACCTCCTAGCATGATGAGGACATTATTAAAAGTAGAATGGGAGAGGTTAGGGTGAAGCCCAGGTCTTCCCCGCCATATACTTTATCAGCCCCTGACTCACTCCCTTTGTCTCTTGAGTAGTGTTTGTCAATTCTGAATTGAACGAAACTGTAGCTACCATGGATGAATATATTGCCCAGCCAATTTCTGAGTTGAACATTGAAGATGTTAAATACTTCTAGTAAAGAAAGCCATTCCATGCGATCAAAGGCCTTGGCTGCATTCCAGAATAATAACTCTGTGGGAAACTTCAAAATGTTTGCATGGTCTCTATAAGATGAGCAGCAGTCTTAGCATTACTAACCATGCTTCTCAGTTTGCTTAAAAAATAATATCCTCATTATATTAAGACTTTTTGCTAATATTGAAGGCAGGATTTTATAATCAGAGTTCAGTATTAATACAAGACAACATGATATGTTTCCATACCTAGTTGTGAATTACTTAGACTTGTATTGTGGGTCTGATTTATTGCACTTTCATTACTAATAGGCCGGTTGGTCGGCTACGTGAGTCTCTTTCCAAATTTAGGAAATAGCGCTTCTGATTTCAGTTATTATTTTCATCATTTAACAGTGTTTTACATTGGCTTTTATGGCAAGCACATCCATAAATTTCATCATTCAAAAGTGTGTGTTTTAAATGCTGCCAACTTTTGGAAAGTGAGCGGGAGCAGTGTTGCAGTAATTTTAAAAACAAATAGTGTAATTTTAACCGCAAACATTATTAGGTTTAAATCCACAGTATAGGAAGGTGTTTTAAGTGTGACCACAGAAGTTTGCCTTCTATATTTTATAGGTGTTGCTGATCTTTGCGAAAGAAGACAAACAGAGTGATGGATTTTGGTGGGCTTGTGACAGAGCTGGATATAGATGTAACATAGCTCGGACGCCCGAGTCAGCGCTTGAATGCTTTCTTGATAAACACCATGAAATAATTGTCATAGATCATAGAAACTCCAGATACTTTGATGCAGAAGCCATCTGTAGGTAATTAATTGCCCTTGTTTTTCATATGAAACTTGGAGTGTGAGTTAACTGTTCCACAATAGTACTATGGTCACTTTATTTAGTGTTGCTGTACATCCAGAATTTCCTGGACATAGCCGGGATTTGGCCGTCAGAAAAGTGTCCAGGTGGAAATCTCTGAAATGTCAGCAAAAATCCAGATGTGTGGCAGCCCATGTTGGCAGTGTCGTTTTTTGTGATTTTCCTTAAAAAATGGTTCAAAAACTTTTTTGAGATTTTGCACACACAAAAAAGCTCAAACGTTGGGCAATACTAAAAGAAACACTCAGCAACTTTTTTGTCTGGATTTTCACCTTTTAAAATATGGGAACTCAACTCTATTTCTAAGGCAAATCAGTGCCTGGACCGTGCCACTTCAGACTGCATAGTAGGTGAGATCACAGAGCATAGTTAAAACTATTTGCTACCACAAGATGTGGTGATAGCCACCAATTTGGACTGTTTCTGGAGGAGAAGACTGCCAATGGCCGTTAGCTGAGACAGCAGTGTGGTTCCTCCAGAATCAAAGGCAATATGTGTCTGAATAGCAGTTACTGAAGATCACATGTGTGCTATGGAGGACTTAGCCAGATTTTGGGCTTATATAAGGATTTGGTTGACAACTATGCATGCCAGACTAGAAAGGCCTTGAAAATGCACTATAAAGGACTTGATAAGCACATATATGCTTTTGTTCTTATGATTATTCTATGATTCCATAGAAGAGCTGAACTCCTGCTTTATAGAAAGTTGAATATCAAAGAGAATAGGAACATAGGAAGCTGCCTGATATTGAACAGATTGTTGGTCCATCTAGGTCTGTGTTGTCTGCACTGACTGGCAGCATCTCACCAATGTTTCAACAAACTATAGATACAGCTATAGATATAGATATATAGATATATAGATATATATGATTTTTTTGTATGGAGGAGCATTCAGTTAGGTGAGCCCCTACTTGCAGTCTGATGTGACATACATTGAGGTTTACCACCTCAACATCAAACTAGACCCTCAACACCAGGAATAAAAGGCATACATGTGAGCCTGAATACTGCAAGATAGTTCTCTGCAAATCAAGCCAAAAGCAGTATTTTGTTTTCACTTCTGAAAATAAAAAGGTTGTAGGCAGCTAAACTCAGAGCTGACTTAGTAACCTTGTGCTCGAGCTAATTTAGGGTTGTGTGGGTGTTGCAGAGCCTGGTTGCATGGTGGAACAATCAAATGACCTCCTCTAAAAGTCCATCAATAGAATCATAGAACTTTAAAGTTGGAAGGGACCCTGAGGATCATCTAGTCCAACCCCCTGCAATTCAGTAATATGTAGCTGTCCCATATGGGAATTGAACCTGCAACCTTGGTGTTAACGACACCATGCTCTAACCATCTAAGCTATCTTACCCAGGTCTGAGAAATATGTAAAGATCGGGTATATGTTGAAAGATGAATGAAACTGATAGTTTCTTTATTTCAGCTTCAAAAAGTTGCAGATTACACACACACACACACACACACACACACACACAAAATAACCCGGAGAAACACACATGTAGCCACAGCTTTTTCAGTTATTTCCTCTGAAGATGTTCTTGCTGCTGAAGAAACAAAACACTGTTTTGCTTATAAAATAGCTTATCTCTTCAGTAATATTAACTGCTTCAGAGGAAACAAATTTAACTATGGTTTTGTGTGCAATTTGCCTGCATAAGTAAGAATCCACTCATAGGTTGAAATATGGTGTTTGGTGTATTAATTTTTGTTGTTAAAGATGGTTTCAATGATTATGACATTGACTTTCCTAATTTCAGGTCAATTCGTGCTACAAAGCCTGCTGAACATACTGTAATATTAGCTGTTGTTCCACAAATGTAAGTATTTTTTGGCAAGAATGTTTTCCAAATGACACTTTTTTAATGGGTAAGGTTAACTAATGACCAAAATATCTTAGCAGTAGTTGGACTTCACATCCATAAATATGCTAGTGATAAGTGTTTTAATTGACTCTTTACTCAGAGAAGGACAATACAAGTCTCTCATTAAAATCTTAGATCAAACTATTTATTCAGACAAGAATGTCCATTCACTTCAGAATGTGGTTTGGCACATTATTGAAAATTCATACATTTCCCAAAACTCCTGCACTTAGGATATGGTGCTGTTGCCATTGGAAAAGGACTCCCCCCACTGCCGCTGCTGCCTCCTCCACCACCACCACCATTAAATTTATACACTGCTTGATTGTACAAAAACCTCAAAGGGGGTTACAAAAAAATAATAAAATTATAAATAATTATAAATAATACATACAGAAATTATAAATACATACAGAAAGTCATCAGCTGCCTCCATGGGAATTCCTATCACAAATCTGCAAGAGCAGAATATGGTGTTTTGAGGTTCCTTCAGGATTTAATACTGGCAGGATTTTTGTTCTCAGGCCAAAATGCAATTAAGGCACATTGTGACCGATAGCACACCAAAGCTATTTGCCTTGTGGGGGTATGATGATGGGTTTAGCTACTTAGCCAACATACATTGTGCAGTCTCGATTTCTCACTCGTACCAAGCTCATGTTGGCATAACATAACAAATAAGGAAAGGCAATATCTGCAAAACTGATATTAAGAGGAAAACTGAATGTGCTAGAGTAAATATATATTTTGTGCTTTATGACTTCTATATGTATGAATAATATTATTGCACTAATTCCCAAAGGGGTAGCTATGGTAATCTGTGTTGCAGCAAAAACAACAGGCACTTTAAAGATTAACAAATTGATTGTGGCATAAGCTTACACATACATAAATACACAAACTTGAGGGAATTATCAGAATTTTTCAGATCTCTTGGCTGACAACATTTTCTACAATTCTGTAGGTCTGGTAACCAAGAAGAAACGTCTGTCCTGCCCCTTCTCCATGCAGGTTTTAACAGGGTATGTAGAAGTTATTTTTACTTTCTTTAAGTGATAACTATTTTTTCAGTCTCCAGTTATTTTCTCTCAATGATTTGATGCAGATGTTGTCAGACACCTGTTCATCAGCCACCCTGAGTGATAGTGCATAGGCATCAGAATGATAAGGTAGAAATTCTCATAAAAATTGAAAATACATACTTTTGTTGCATGATAGCTTTGAGAGCCCCCGACCTTTACATTTTAACTAAAAATGTCTGAAAAGTAAGCAGGGACATTAAGGGGAAGCTATTTTTAAAAATTAAATCAGGGTTCTCTAAGGGTATCTTAGTAAGCACCTGTAACTGTCTGGTCCTCTGGTCAGCCCTGAGCAGAAGAGGACTGGAAAGCTGGCTGCTGCTTTCTTTGCCTTTAAGATCCTTATGTAAACACAAAATGAGTCTGGGTGTAAGGTCAGACTCCACAAGCAACCACCTGAACTTCCCAATAAAGACCTGGTTACACTGGAGAAATGCATTTTAGATGGATTTTTTAAAAAACCAAAGAGGGACCAACTGTTTGGTGTATGTTGGTGTGTCCCCCCCCCTTCCTTTCTTATTTATTTATTTATTTATTTATTTCATATTGAAATTATATAGATAAGACACATAAACTTTGAATATTCAAATACTGTAAATAAAACACGTCATGTATACTTCGCCTTTAACATTACAGTTGTATATCCACATTTTACCAACTATTGTTACACCTTTCCTTTTCCCCATATACCCTTGTGACTCCCCCCCCCAGCATGGCTTCTTTAATTCTATTTACTAATAGTACTATTGTGTTTATACTTACTATCCAACATACTCAAAATTCCATCTTCAACATCATAATTCTTGTCTTTGTGAGCTCAGTCTAAGCATAGAGTTGTGTGTGTTTCTTTGGTGCAGCCGCAACGAAAGATTGAAAAGTTCTACTTTTAAACTAATCAGACTTCTGTGTTGTTTCTGAATTCTGGTTAGTTCAAGCTATTGTCATTTTAGAGAAGCCAGGATCAGAAATGACTTATGGTGCTGATTTGTTCAGAGCCAGCAGTGTGGGGGGCATCCCCTTTTCTGTTTTTTTTTTTTTTTGCCACCTCCTTTTTTCTTCCTCCCCACTTTGACATCCACATGAAAATTAAGCCCAAGGGTCACATAAAATTAGACTTGACTCCTGCTTTTAAGCTAACCAGGGTTATCCAAGTTCACACATAATGAGGACCCTGGTTAGTTTATTAAACAATAAACTGGTTAGTTTATTGAACTACAACTCCCATCATCCCTGACCACTGGTCATGCTGGGTAGGAATGATGGGAGTTGTAGTCCAACAACATCTGGGGACCCAACGTTGAGAAAGGCTGGTTAAAAGCAGATGTAGATACTTCCTATGTCCTCATGACCACGTCAAAGGAGGGGTGTGGGTGTGTGAGAAGACCTGAGTATGATGCAGGTTCTTGCATGTGATGCTAAACCCAAAGTTCAGCATTTGTTTCTGAATTATTTCAATGGATATGAGCTTAATGCTCTGATGATGCAATTTAGCACTGAGTCACAAAAATGGCACGCTCATTTGCAGGCTGACTTGATCTGCGTTATAACTGGCCACCTCACGAATCTGGTGACATTAGCATGCAACCAGATGGAAAATGATCAGACATCACCAACCCACATTTGTAAGCTGTGTCATGGTGCTGTAAATGCAGCTTGGTTTTAAGCTGGGCTCATTCTGAACCCTCCACTGGTCCACCAGCTCCCTTATGGACAGATCAGTTTGGTCTTGTGAATCAGCACGAATGACCCAGTCTAATAATCTCTTGGTGCGAATTCTATTGTCTTTCTTATCTTTCTCTCTCTCATGTATTTGCTGCAATAATTACAACCAACTTGTTCGGACAGGATCCCATTGAATATCTCCATGCCATCTTTAGGTTGTGTATTATAGCTCATTCTTGTTGCCCTTGTTCTCAAGTGACGGAAAAAGGATTAACATACCAAAGAATAGGCTTTAAAATAATACTGAGTGGGTGGACAGACACTTTCTATGCTTCAATGGTTGCCTTCTGGGATGCCGTTTGTTCACAGGGAAAGCAGCCAGAGGCTGAGCCTCTGATTCAAAGCACGGTCACCTGGAAGCAACTTCATTAGTATTGATGAGGCCAAGGGAGCAATCCTAACTCCCAGTGGGGGAGCACTGGGGTTGAAAGGAGCAGCAGAGCCACCACCACATCCAAAGCTACACAACTTACACCAGTGAACAATTTTTTGTTGAGCCAGCTTCAAGCTGGCACAGCAAAGAGGCCACCTCTCATCCCTCTCTGGCAGCTATAATGGTTTAGGATCCAGTAGATCCATTGCCAGGCCTTACAGCAGGTACTACTAATGCAAACTTCACTGACAGTACCCTGTCCACAGTCCACACCAGGAGCAGTGAACTCTGCATCTTCACCAGCAGAGTTGGGTAGAAGGAAATCTGTGCTATATCCTAACTCCCTCCAGCAGCATGGATCAAGGGTTAGGATTGCTGTAGCCATTTCAGAGGTTTAGGGTTTGTGTGTACAATAATAATAAATGTATATTATTCATAGTAGCCTGCTTTTTTCATTAGGACTTCAAAGTAACTGGTCAAAGAATAAGGAAAATGTAAATAAACATTATAGGGAACTACAGCTGCCATTTGTTCTTCAAGTTCCCCCCTCCCATCTCTGCCATTCCTCATCTCAGTAGAAAACTGTTTGTCAGCATTATACTTTGGCTGCTCGTTGCATTTGCCAGACCTGCTTTTTCATATATGTAGCCTAAATTATGTGAGAGGGACTTACTCTATAACAGGAACAACCAATGTGAAGCCTTCCAGATATTCTGGCACTCCAGTTCCCATCAACCCCAGCAGGGGCGGAGGAAGTGGGTGCGGTGGGGCCAGCCGCCCCAGGTGTCAACACTGAGGGGAGTGACAAAATGCCGGGCGGTACTCACCGTGGGGGCTGCAGTGCGCCTGAGCCATGCGTCTCCTGGGAGTGATGCAGTAGCTTGGGCGTCCGCAGGCTCTGCGCTGCCCCAAATGGTCTGCTCACCGCCTCCCCCTCAGCTGTAGGGCGGCTGAGTGGGAGGAAGCAGGCAGACTCCTTGGAGGCCCTGCGGAGCATCCTGCCCGGGCTGACCCCACCCCACGGCGACTGGCCCCGCCCTTGGGTGCAGGGCACGTGCGCCACCCGAAGCGCCCAATCAGCTTGCTCCACCGCTGAGCCCCAGCCAACATCAACAATCATCAGGGGTGGTGGAACTTGTAGTACAACATCTGGAAGGCAACACATTGACTACCTCTGCTCTGTACCATTCTGTGCTATTAAAATGACATAATTTTTATCTGACAGCCAGCTTCTCAAAGGTCCATTTCTAGTCCTTCTATTCAGGGATTTACCTACCCTGCTGTACAGTGCAGTTGTAGTTGCAAAAGCCACATCCATTCTGTTCTCCTGTCTGTTGGTACCACTTTAATTTACAATCACATATGCATGACATTTTAGGGGTTCAGTATGCATAATATGTAGTGCATGCAGTCTCTGCAGTTTGCAGAAGTTTTGCCCAGGCTGGTTCCCCCTCATCCACCAGCCCACATTGCTCACAAAAGCAAGATTAGGATTAAGGCAGGCTCTGCTTGCACAATTCATTCCCCCCCCCTTTCTCCCCAAAAGCTCCCCCAAAGCATATGGGGCCACCTAAACAATGTGTCTGTCTTGTGGAGGCTATAGTAGGAGAGGGGAATTGCCCAAACTTGGTAAGTGGAACCCTGTTGGATTCAACCCAATAAAAACATAAATAAAATCTTAATTCAGAACATGAAAAACATTAAGATAAGCATCCAGAAGCAAAAACCAAACTGTTCCCTTACACACTGCAATTTACAATTTGCACAATTTGCAATGTACAAGGCACAAACCAATGTTCCCCTTCTTTTCCTTCCTAGGGAGAAAGTAAAAATCTAAACTACGGGCATTTGCACATACCAGGCTTAAATTGCCTTTTAGAAATTATTTATGTTGACATCTGATTCATGTGAAAGAGAAGGCCAAAGAGATGCAATTGTAACATGGATGTTATTTGGCCAGGGCAGATTTTGTATTAATAAAAACAAACTGAAGCAAAGCCTGCTTTAAGACTCATTACTGAATCCCCCACTGGACCAACACTTGCAATTCTAGAAAAGTGGGGACAGGATATTATGGGTCATGTTTTCCTTATGCAAGAAAATGTAGCATCACACCAATAACCAATACATTAAAATTTGTGAAAGTGATTTTGCACCTACAATGGTGACGGAGACACTGCTACATTTTCAGTGGGGAGGGGAAGTGGAGACTTGTGTGGCATATTCTTACTGCTGTAATTCTTTCAGCAAGAGCCTTTGAAGTTTCTTCAAAGGTTTGTTTGTTGGCCATAGAAACGTTTGTTCATTTATAGGGCAAGTAACATCAGAAAGTACCATCTGCTGAGATAGCCATCAAAGTCTCCATGTCCTCTTTAAAAAGCCCCCCCGATCTTCAGTTAACAACCAGTCTTCCAATGCAATACAGCTACCAGTTTCACTGGCAAAAATCTATAATCGTCAGTGGGAACAGAAATCAGACACCAAATGTTGTGGCTCCTGTATGGCGCAAATTATTTTTCTCCTCCTGTTTTTATTCTGCATTGCCAGTGACCTTTCAAGCACCTTAACCTTGAGCAGTTGCTGTCACTCAATACCTGTGTTACTAGGGATAGGGTAAAATGTTAGAGACTCCCCCACCCTTCCATCTTTTAAATCGCACCTCTTATGACTTCATGATTCTTATGATTTCATGACTGAATGCTTCATCATGCTGAACAATTTTAGGGTGAATACACATTCTCTTTTGTGGGGTAGGATTCATGCTTTCAGCACTAAATGGCCATACCTCTTTTCTCCAGTTTTGTGATTGCCTCCTTCAGGCATGAAAAAAAATCCATTCTCCATATCACAATGCAATATGCTTGCAAAAAGCTCGTCGAAACTGTGTAAGGGGCTGGGAAAAGAGACTCATTGAGACATTATTTATGCCCACTGGTGTGGACAGAACATCGTAGGATGCAGACATTAAAAATTGCAATACTACCAGTAAAAGAGAATAGCAATTTCACTTTTGGCTCATTCTGCGTGGAACTGATGGGAGTCGCAGTTCAACAACACCTGGAAGGCACCATTTTGGGTACTCTGGAATAAACAATTAGCAGGCTAGATGGACCAGTGGGCTGACAGCTTCATATGTTTCCTGTGTTGATCATAAATATATGGGATCTTAATTGCATATAAGGCTTTTTTTTCTATCCCCTAGAGATTTTTGGAGAATAGTAGCATCACTGCTTGTTACAATGAACTGATTCAAATAGAACATAGCGAGGTGCGATCACAGTTCAAACTACGGTACGTAAAAATATGTGCAAAAACTGTTCATGTCCTTGACAGAAAGTGTTCCTCTCCAGTCTCATAATCCTGTTACGTGGTGGGATTATTGTGATGCTGAACATATGCTTTGATCTGTGGTAAGTGCATTGACTTTCAGGCCCAGTGCTTTTTTCCCCTAAAAAATGTTTACTCTCATTCAACTGAGATTCAGGAAATGAGGCCACCATCAGGGGTAGCAACGGAACTGACGATTCACCGTGCTAGAGAAGAAACTAAATTTTTAAAACATTTTTAGTTTCTTCTGCCGTTAGATTCACAAAATGTTTAGGGTATGTGTACCCCTGCGTCGTCGTCCCCCCCAGACAAAAGCACTTTCAGGCCCATACACACACACAGTAGCTTTTCAGGTTCTCAAAGCTAGAACTGTAGAACTATCATTGTCCTCCCGCACATACTTTATTTTTCCATGTATAAGATGCCCCCATGTATAAGACTACCCTTATTTTTTTGAACCCCAAAATTAGAAAACAAAACCCTAAAATAGAAGTGAAAACCTGGATGATCTGCGGTGGCAAGTTTATCTTTTTTTTGGGCAGTCGCCTTCAAAGTTTCCAGCATGAGGCACATGCATTGCAATGTGGTGCAGAAGCAAAGGCAGCAACTGGGGCACCATATGCTTCCCCTCGGTGGAAGCTGTGGGGAAGCTGTGGGGAAGCGAGGGGAAGGAGGCTTCCAAGCAGGATACCAAGGAAGAGCCGCAGGAAGGCAGCGACCACTCTGCACCGGGCTATGCCGTCGAGCAAACTGAGCTGAGGAAGGTAGTGAGCGGGCTGTGGGGAAGGGTGGGAGTTTGAGAGGGGAAGAGGGGGAGAAGGCAAGAAGGGCAAGGAGAGGTAACGGTGGCAGCTGCTCTTGCTCCCGTGGTCGAGCCAGCGGGGGCTTCAGGTGGCGAGCCAGTTACCAGCATGCAGCCCGGAGGGGGAGAAGAAAGGGGTGGCAGCAGGAGGGACCGCCTCAGTCCGCCCAAGCCAAAATCCTGGACATATGCTTAAATATTTAAAAAATCCCCCGGATGCCCATGTTCCGTGTACAAGATGACCCCCATTTTTTTACTTCTTCTTTTTTTAAGCAAATAACCTCGTCTTATACACGAAAAAAATACGGTAGTTCCAGGATTTGGGAAGTGCAGACCAAATAATTAACCATTCATCAGGAGTAAGTGCTATTTGGGGCTTGCACAGGGACTCAGCTTCTAGTCACTTGCCTCAATCAGACTCCTTATTTCTTAAATTCCAAGTATTCACCTTTCTTCCATTGGGCTTTAGTTTTTCCTAATCAGAATATGTTCACTTAGGTAGAGCATTTTGTATATAGTTGGTATCACTATAAGAAGCAAACATTTCTTTCATTTTTCTCCTTCCGGGTCCCCCCCCCCCATCTGCTGTTCTTCCACATGGCTTCAGGGAACTTATACCCACCCACTATCTGAGTTTAAGGTGTTGGCCAGATGGAACAATTCCCACTCTTCTCCCTCTTTATTCTGTCCTGGCGGAGTCTGCTGCTCCCCATCCCAGAGTCAATTCTGGAGGTGGGGCACACAGTGGGAAGAGAGGAGGGAAAGTCCTGTTGCCTAAGCAGAAGAACTTGTGCAGGGCTTCCACTAACACGATTCATTATATCAATCCCACCCAAAGTGTATGTGTGCCCTCTTTTGCAAGTGGAGCTGAGGGTCCAATCTACATATAGGTAAAGGTAAAGGGACCCCTGACCATTAGGTCCAGTCGTGGCCGACTCTGGGGTTGCGGCGCTCATCTCGCTTTATTGGCCAAGGGAGCCGGCATACAGCTTCCAGGTCATGTGGCCAGCATGACTAAGCCGCTTCTGGCGAACCAGAGCAGCGCACGGAAATGCCATTTACCTTCTTGCCGGAGCAGTACCTATTTATCTACTTGCACTTTGACGTGCTTTTGAACTGCTAGGTTGGCAGGAACAGGGACCAAGCAATGGGAGTTCACCCCGCCACGGGGATTCGAACTGCCAACCTTCTGATCAGCAAGTCCTAGGCTCTGTGGTTTAACCCACAGCGCCACCCGCATCCCCAATCTACATATAGGCAGTGACTATTTTAGGCACGTCCAATATGTGTGTGATTGCATGTGCGCGTATTGTGCCGAACCTGGAAGTGACCCAAAAATGCCACAGAAACAGGCGGGGCGGAGTGTTTACAAGCTTTTCCAATGGTGTTTCAAATGCATGTGATTTCACTTCAACATACAGTACCTCAGAACATAACCCCTGCATAAATGAGGAAAGTGTACTGGGTCCAGAAAATTCTGCTGGCCCCTCTGCCCCAAAATGTACCACCAGTATTTGCCATCCACAAGTCAAGGGCCTACTCAATAAATCAATATAAATTTGACCCCCATGTGATACTAGACATTCTCTCAGCAAGAATACATTCCACATTGTAACAGGAATGAGGGAGTCATGGGGGTGACTTACAGAGGAGGATTGCTTATCCCCTCCTTCACTTGAAAATCTTCCCCTCTTCCCATTTGCCCTCACTTAAGCTTATTCACTGTTCTGGCTAAAGGGAGCATTTACAGAGAGAGAATAAAAGGCAGGAGAAATGCAGGCAACCAGTATTTTCTTTGCAATATCTACACTGTGAATACATTACATATTACCTAACAATCCTCTCCATAGATGTATTGTAGAAAAATACATTGAAAATCCTGGTAGAAATGTAAACATACAAATGCAATACATCTTGCAATGTTTTTAAAATCATTTTTTTGTGTTCAGTTCATGCACTGATGTAATTCTGACCTGTTACACTTGCAGATATTAATGGTGTATAATAACTTGTTAATTTCAGGGCTTGCAATTCAGTGTTCACAGCACTGGAACACTGTCATGAAGCCATAGAAATAACTAGTGAGGATCATGTAATTCAGGTATGGAAAAGGCACATTTTTCTTTCTCTTCAAAAACCTGTGTATCGATATATCAGTTGATTGAACACCATTGGCTTCTGTGGTTGTATGTAGAAGTTTGTGCCATATCCCTCCTTTCCTTCTTAAATATCTGTTGGGGGGGGGGTTCTACAATGGAAATGTATCTAGCAGTATTCGTACTGGAGACTGAATATAGCATAGGCATGCTGAATGCATCTTTAAGTTCACACTTTCCTTGGTTGCTCACATGGTTTCTTTGGTTTATAGTATGTCAATCCAGCCTTTGAACGGATGATGGGCTATCAAAAGGGAGAGCTAATAGGAAAGGAACTCACTGAGCTTCCAAAGAGTGACAAAAACCGTGTGGACCTACTGGACACGATCAACACTTGTATAAAAAAAGGAAAGGTAGGTGACTAGCTAAATTCTATCTCCTGCCTCCTTAAGACCTTCGAGATCATCTTCCTCTGTTGGTAAATTACAGATCTAAGACACCTTAACTTTACTGGAGAACATGTGCAATTGGGTAACCCTGTAACAAAAATGTAAGAGGGAAATAACATTGTGTGTGCATGCATAAAATCTGCAGAGTTTATTGCCATGTGGAGATTCTGGGATGATGGAATCTCTGCTTGTAGCTTGCTGTCAGTGCATCTATGATTCTCTCACGTAAAAGGTGTCTGAGAGTGTGGTGTCACAAAATGCTACCAGCTTAGAAATGTTTATTTTTAAGAAAGGGGTTTGTGATCTGAGCTTCCTAGAATGTTGTTTTCACTCAACTTGTTTAGGAATGGCAAGGAGTTTATTATGCACGGAGGAAATCAGGAGACAGTATCCAACAGCATGTGAAGATAACGCCTGTAACTGGCCAAGGAGGGTAAGTTTATTAATTAAAAATGCACTCTGTTGTAATGGTTTTCTCTGTTATACATACGTATATAAATAGATGGAATCAGGTTTGGCTGTGAATATATACACCTATATGCATAATTATATTTCTATCAAATATAATAATTCCATATAATAGTGCCATGTTTCTTGGCACAGGTCTGGGCTTTAAAGTTCTGTGTCTGAGTGTGTATTTCTTCTCTCTCAGTGCTTTCCCTAGGAAAACGCGCGTTTCACCGCCGAATCAGAGTAAATGGCAATTAGGTTTTCTGGAGATTGGACCCAGTTTTATGTGTTTGATTCCCCTGAATCTCTGTTCTATAAGCTGGGTTTTCTGTTTGCTTGTTTTAGGATGTGTTTTTTAACCATATTAAAATAATAATAACTGTACACCACTTTTATAAATGCTTTAAGATAAAATAAATATTGTTCCTGTCTCCCTCCCACCAGCTGCATATCCTCAGCTGTACTTCACCTGTGACTCTCACCAAATGCTTGTGCATTTGTACAAGGCACAAGCCTTGTATTACCTGGATTACCTGAGAGTGATGTGGAAATTCCATGTGGATTACATGTGATGTGGAAATTCCACGACTGGAACACCCATCTTTTTTCTGTTACGAAAAGCAGCCTTGGGGTTAGGGGCAAATAGTTGAAATTCCCCCATGCATCTCTGATTCAAACTACTCTCCATACATTTTCATAGAAAAAGCTGTGAGGAGTTTCAGACTCCAATCTTGTGCACCTTTACTAAAGAGTAAGTTCCCCTGAATTTAGGAGAGCTACTCACATAGGATTCAACTGCTAGTCATGGAATTCCCATGTTGCACATAGTTAGACTCATAGTTGTCCTTAAATAAGGTCTCATCTCTCAGTCTCATTCTTTAAAATGTGAACATAATTGACCTATTCTGTAGGATGAGATGAATAAACAAGTGACAATAATAATTATAGGATTTTTTTTTAATTTGGAAAAAATATTGAAAATACAGTAATTTTATGCACTCTCTATAATTATAATAAGTCAACAGCATTGTATGACTGAATATTGTCCTGGTACTTATCATTCCAAAACATCACAGATAAAAAAAAATCACTCTAAAAAATGTTTCTGTTATTCATCATTTGCTCTTCTGCAGTATGTTAATTTAGATATTAGATTTTCTCAAACCTTTCTGACAGTGATGGAGTAGTTAATTAACAGGTTTCTTTTAATTAATCAGATCTGATTTTTTTATTTAAAATAAATGGTAACAATTTAATCACCAGTTGTGCCAAAATTATTTTATTTAGTAACAGTGCTTTTGTTGTTTTTGTTAATATCGGTAGGAAAATCCGTCATTTTGTATCTATCAAGAAGCTATGTTGCACCAATGACAGCAACAAACAGGTACTGTGTTTTCTTTGTAGTATACAACCCCTTTGCTTGATATCATCCCATAGTAATAACTGTTTTTCTTCACACAGCCAGTACATTATGTAATATTTAAAATATGAGTGCCAAAACATACTATTTGGAAGACTTCACCAGGTAGCATGCAAGTTTATTTGACCAAGCAAAATGACTGGGCCAGATTTTGGGGAGAGAATTATGCAGTCTTTCAAGTTACACAGAATATATCATGTAGCAGAATTTGGTCCTTGGGAAAGCTAAATTGTTTACAGGTGCAAATAGAGTTGTCAGAAGAAAAGGAAGCACACACCTGCATACCACAAGGTTGTCTGTGCAGCTAAGGTTTAGCTAAATCAGAAGTTTATGTGTCTATTTCCTTTTCTTTTTTTCACATGACACCAGACCTACAAGACCCATCGTGATGAAAAGTGTGCAGGAGACCAGTTTCAGTCAGGTTAGAGAATAATCTTTCTTCAAATGGCATCGTTTTATAACCATCTAAATTCTCTCAGTGGTGTATATGTATATATATTTAAGTACCATCAAGGATCTAGCAGAACTGGTACTTTTCCCCCTGAGGGCTTTCCTAGAATTATGCCTACAGATTATGCCTTCTGCCATGTTGGATGGTAGATGCAAAGAGATGCCTATCTCTCAACAGATTTGCAGGTAGAGAATGTAATCCATTATGTATTGAAATGTGCTTTACATGATGGTTCAAGGGCAAAATTATTGAGAAACATTTTGGCTAGCTTGACAACCTGCTCTGATCAATAAAATATTTTTTCTTAAATATCTTTATCCGTAAATGAGAAATTAGTTAAAACAAATGTGTGTGTGAAAATAAATTCTGGCCACTTTTAAAATACCTTCCTGTAATATTTCTAGACTCTCATTCCTTCAGATGCAAGAACAGGAGAAAAGAATCTATTGATGTCAAATCAATAACTTCTCGAAGCAGCGATGGTAAGGACACCAATGTGTGGAGAATATTTCTAGCAGTTCAGGATCCTGGATTAGATTGCTGCTGCTGCTGCCACTGTTCATTTTTTAAGATTTGAGAGAGAGGCACTTGATATATCTTTAAGGTTTTTGTTAGAAGTACTCCCTATTGTCTGGGCTATTGAGCAACAATAATAGAAAGCAGTACAATTTAGAACAGTGGAAAATATTTGGGGGCAGAGGTGTCTCCATCTCTTACTGGCAAATAATTTATTACTCTCTAAGAACATATGATGGGGCCGTAGCTTCTTTATTTATTTTATTACATTTATATCCTTCCTTTCTTTCATCATGGAACTCAAGATAGACCCATACATCTAAAATAATGCAATGTATGAGGATGTAGATTTTTATTTTTGTTTGTTTTAAATGCCAAAATGTTTCTGTTTAATGGCAGCCCCAAGTTTACAGAATCGTCGGTATTCATCAATGGCAAGAATCCACTCCATGACGATAGAAGCCCCAATCACAAAGGTAAGAGTCAACAACTTTCTGATAAAATTTCACACACATCAACAATCGGGACGGACACAGCAAGGCTTGTCAAGGCATTCAGATATCTTATGATGCACTCAGCCAACACAGTACGTTTCACATCACCCCAATGACCTGGTTTGCATGTAACACTAAGCCAAACCATGGCTAAGTGTGAGCATGATAGTGTGCATGTACTCTCTGTTAAAATCATAACGGCTTCATTCCCCCTCCAGTTACCCAGCTGTTACGCTACCTGGAATTATGTCATGGTTTGGCTGGGCATTATATTGCTGTAGGCAAACTGTGAGTTGTAGCTACTATTTGTTTTTCGCTTACTACTCATGGTTTGTCTTGGATACACAAACCATGAGCATGACTTCAGACATAACACTACATGCACACTGGACCAATAACTATGTAGTTTCTACTATAGCAGGTGAGGCAACTTAAAGCCCAAGCTAATTTTAAGATGTTGCTTATCAAACACATGAATGAAGATCATGCTATTTATTCATTCAGATGCCTCTAATAACTTATTGTGAACATGTCCTTGTAAACCCACAAGAAATGGACCAAGGATGTTTTTTCTCAAATAGTAACTAATACTTTATGAACTATTATTACATAATAGAACTGCCCAACTTGAATCAGTAATCAGCTAAGAGTGCACTCCTGTACATGTTCACCTAGAAGCAAGTACCATTGAGTTCAGTAGGGTTTACTCCCAGGACAGTAGGAATAGGATTACAGGCACAAACTTTAATTGCTTACTCAGTGATGCCAATTTTAATAATGTAGGCAAGTGGTTTTCGACCAGTGTGCCGTGGCACCCTACAGTAACTTGAAAGATAAAAATAATATTATAATTTATTACTTATACCCTGCACATCTGGCTGGGCCTCCCCAGCCACTCTGGGTGGCTTCCAACAGAATATTAAAAACACAATAAAACATCAAACATTAAAAACTTCCCTAAACAGGGCTATCTTCAGATGTCTTCTAAAAGTCAGATAATTGTTTATTTCTTTGACATCTGGTGGGAGGGCATTCCACAGGGCGGGTGCCACTACCGAGAAGGCCCTCTGCCTGGTTCCCTGTAACCTCACAACACTTTGAATTGTCAGCACCAACACTTTGAATTGTGCTTGGAAGCATACTGGGAGCCAATGTAGATCTTTCAGGACCGTTGTTATACGGTCTCGGTGACCACTCCCAGTCACCAGTCTAGCTGCCACATTCTGGATTAATTGCAGTTTCTGAGTCACCTTCAAAGGCAGCCCCACCTAGAGCGCATTGCAGTAGTCCAAACGGTCAGGGGTGCCGCAGGCAACACTGCCCTCTCTCCCTCTTTTCTTCTCTCCCTCTTCTGATGCCCTCTCATGTCTGCCTCCCAAAGGCTTGCATAACTGTTTATTGCAGCAGCCCAGGCTATAAGCTCCACAGGCAAATGGTCCTCTGGCAGGCACTTCTCTTTGGGGGGGGGGGCAGTCCCTGAAGGACTCACAAGGAGAGAAGAAAGGAGGCTGAGGGAACACTCCACAAGGGAAGGTGTTCGAAAAAGGATGAGAAGCTGCCAGCTCTGCAGGCAAGGGGTGCCATAACTGGGCTCCTGAGCCCCACAGGGGTGCCACAGAAAGAATGTAGTTGGTTAAGGGAGCTGTGGACTCAAAAAGGTTGAAAACCTCTGATGTAGGCAAATTGTAATGAGTTGTTAATGGTACATTTGTTACTGTTTAGTGTCTATTTTGCACTCATTGTAACAGGGCTTGAAAATATAAAATACAGTCTGTCCCTATAACAGTGATAGCTTTTGCTTATAAGTTTTAAATTATCATAGTACTTTCAAGATTCTCAAAAAGGCACCTATGTTGAATTTTTAGCAATACACAGCTGTACATTAATCTAAATGGTAAATTAATTAGTTAATCATTTAAATAAGATGATTAATCAACTGCTTTATTCATCTGATGTTCCTTTTACATACTAATTCCTTAATGGTTTCATGTAGACTAAAAATGAGCAATAGCTCTGTTATATGTTTTTCCTTTCTGTTTGTAACCCCGTAGGTCATTAATATAATCAATTCTGCTCAAGAAAACAGCCCTGTAACTGTAGCAGAGGCCTTGGATCGGGTTTTGGAAATCTTACGGACAACAGAACTTTATTCTCCTCAGTTAGGTACCAAAGATGAGGATCCTCACACTAGTGATCTTGTTGGAGGTCTGATGACTGTGAGTAAGAAGACACATATCAAGCAACCAATTTCACTCACTGTTGTGGGGTGTTTCAGCTGAGCTGAAGTAAAATTCCTGTGGTTTCTCAATTGCCTCATTACATTGATAGTACTACAAACCATAACATTCTGTCAGCCTTCTGTTGCTGGTGCTTGTTGTGGGAAAAACTGTTAAGATTTATGTAAGCAGCGTATGGAACGCACAGTAGGAGGAATATATTGAAGTTTGCCCTGGTTCACCAAAGCGGAGCTCTGTGGATACAGAAAATTGCCTCTGTAAACTGCTCCAGATAAGCAGCCATGAAGGAGGATAGCATGCAGCTTTAATGTCAGATTGAATTCTCAGCGGTGTTGCATGTTTTATAGTGTATTTATTTAAGCAAGCATTCACACATTCATTGTATGTGCTTTTCTAATTATTTTGAGCATAATTTATATTGCTTAGTGCATAAACTTAATGATACCCTAATCCTAATCTCCCCTAACCTTTTGCAGCTTGATCATAATGTCTTTTAAGAGTGCACCCTTCTTCTTTTATCCTTGGTGTGTGGAATCCGGCAGTGTGCAAATATTTTTTGTTTTATTTCAGGATGGTTTGAGAAGGCTGTCAGGAAATGAGTATGTATTTTCCAAAAGTAAGTTCCCACGTCCAACTCTCTTTAACGCATGCCTGTTTTATTTGTTGCTATTGTTGCAAAGAAATTAAGTCTTGCTGAAAATCACTGGTGCAGAGAATCCTTCAAACACACAATAAAAGGTCCAGTTCTTACACAGCAGTTACTTGATTCAGTAAGGAATATCTATGTATGGAAGATGTTGAGGCTTATCTTGGTGGGTATATCCAGCTGTGTCATATGTTCAACTTGACCCCGCTGAACTGGCTCATTGCATCTTCTTGATGGGCTTATACATCCCCTTTCAGGGTCACCATTGTTAAATGTAATTTGTTGCCTGCAACTAGAGGTGTATCAGGACCAGAGAAGACAGTGGTGGAAAAGACAATATGGACAACAGCAGTGTGTTAAACACAAAATTGCCCCAGTCACATAGAAAGAGGGTGCCTGGGCACTAAAACTGCAGGGAGGTAAACTACACCCTAACCCTTACCACCATGCATGCCACCTTTGCATGCGCACCTCCCCACTCCACATCAGAGCAGTTCCATTTACACACACACATGAGATTGTAGCCTCTGGATTGGATCCTGATATAGTTATGCTAAGATTAGATCCATTGAAATCAATGAATCACAACTAACAAGTCCCACTGATTTCAGTTACTAAGCCTGGATTCATCCCGTCGTGTCTACCTTGGTCCAAATACTTAATTTCTACTAAGGATTCTTCAGTGTGGTGTAGTGGTTAGAGTGGTGGACTAGGACCTGGGTGACAAGGGTTCAAATCCTCACTTGGGCGTGAAACTCATTGGGTGGCCGTGGGCCAATCGCTGCCCCTCTGCCTAATTTATAGGGTTGTTACGTGGATTAACTGAGGAGGAAGAGGAGAACCATGTGCCCCACCTTGAGCTCCTTAGAGGAAAAGGGAGAATGTAATTGAAATAAATAAATAAATTTATCATTTGGACAGATACCACGAACCAGAGCCATGGTCACCTCTCTGTGCCAATTACTATCAATGACGTTCCACCCTGTATTGCACGCTTACTGGATAATGAAGAGAGCTGGGACTTCAACATTTTTGAACTGGAAGCTGTTACAAATAAAAGGCAAGGCTTCTTTCTGCATTGTGTTAGATAGAGGTATAGAAGTGGAAGGTGTTGCTAAACAAGCTGTGGCACAAATTAAGCTTGTGTCATCTATGACTTGCTGAGTTGTATCTGCCTGTCTCTGGCAGAGGCAGATGTTGATACAGGAAGCCAGGAGTAACTTGTGCTTCCCCCTCCTGTGCTTCCTGGTGGATGTGTGGAGTGGGAATGATCCCCAAAGCTGCCAGAACAATACCCTTTTTATTTTATGTTACATTTGTTATGGTTAGTTTAGCAAGAGCAGGACAGATCTATATGCAGCTCCATCCTTTCTGTCTTGGGACTCCCTTCAAAAGCTCAGCTGCCCCTCAGCTGCCGTTTGGCACAGAAAAGAAACTGCCATTGACATCGATGACAGCTTCTCATCTGTGCCAAACAGCAGCTGAGAGAGGGAGCTCTTAATTAGAACTATAGCACTGGAAGATAGTGGTAACCCTTCATGCCTTTGCGCCATGGTCCTGATCCTAATTGCTGAGAGCCAGTGTGGTGTAGTGGTTAAGAGTGGTAGTCTCGTAATCTGGGGAACCAGGTTCGCATCCCCGCTCCTCCACATGCAGCTGCTGGGTGACCTTGGGCCAGTCACACTTCTTTGAAGTCTCTCAGCCCCACTCATCTCACAGAGTGTTTGTTGTGGGGGAGGAAGGGAAAGGAGAATGTTAGCCGCTTTGAGACTCCTTCGGGTAGTGATAAAGCGGGATATCAAATCCAAACTCTTCTTCTGCCCCCATGTGGCTGCTGTTCTTAAAAAAGGACTGCACAATGCCAAGCTGTGCATTTTACGTCACGTAATTTGGCTCTTCCTTCCTTTTATACAAGTCTCCCCACTGTCAAAATGCTGATTGTCAACTTCACATGGCAAGCAAGCACACACAGGGATAGTGGTGAAATGTATCCAGTAAATGGAAGCTGTTGCTAACCAAAGTCTGCAAGAGCAAGAAGACTGATGAGTGCCTTTCCTGCCTTGTTTTACCCTCTCCCTTTCCAATTATGTTCCAGGCCGCTGGTTTACCTGGGTCTGAAGACCTTTGCCCGCTTTGGTGTCTGCGAATTTTTAAACTGTCCCGAAGCCACACTGCGAGCCTGGTTCCAGGTGATTGAAGCCAACTACCACTCCTCCAATTCCTATCATAACTCCACTCATGCAGCTGATGTCTTGCATGCCACAGCTTTCTTTCTGGGGAAAGAAAGAGTTAAGGTACAATTTCTGCTGAGTTTTCCTCTTCTTATGTTCAACAAGTTATGACCGGGTGTTTCCATGGTATTTATTTGAAGTCCCTCACTGAGTTGCTTACTATCTGAGAGTAGAGTTATACAATCATTTTTATATGGAAAAATGTCACTATGTGGTGGCATCTCCCAATCATTTTTCTATGGTTATTAATATTTATAAATCAGCAGTGGGGAACCTCTGGCCATGAGTCTAACTAGACACACTAGGCTTCCACATTTTGGCCAAGCCATGCCCACATGCCCTACACTTGATGTCATATATGAGGTGTGGGGCATGTAATGAGGGGGCTGGAGCAAAAGGGAGTTTGCAGCTGATCGTCAGGGAACTGTGCTTGGAGCACACAAAGCACTGACAATCAACTAATGGTCAGTGCTTACATAGCTTTATACAAAAACAGATTACTTGACATTGTTGTGATGTCAGGTGATTTGACAGGTGGAAGGAATGAGGATCAGGTCTGCTGGCCAGATCCAAACCCCCAGCTCTGTTGTAAATGGATCTTCAGAAGATGAAAATGAGCTGCATCTATGTAGCCATTAAAACTAATGCTGCATTCCCCATAGTTATGGGTAGATTACACTGGATGGGTAAATTTCCCATCAGGAAAATTACAAGAAACTCCTGCCTCTAGATTCTACAAACTCACCCAGACTTGAATATCAGTGACTCTACTGGTGATTACTGTTACATTTTTATTTTGATAAATACTGTATAGTTGAACGAGACTTAATTCTTTCTTGTAGGCAAGCCTTGATCATTTAGATGAAGTGGCTGCATTAATAGCTGCAACAGTTCATGATGTGGACCACCCAGGACGGACCAATTCTTTCCTGTGCAACGCAAGCAGTGAGCTCGCTGTACTCTACAATGACACGGCTGTGTTGGAAAGCCATCACACAGCTCTGGCGTTCCAGCTCACCGTAAAAGACAACAAGTGCAACATTTTCAAAAGTCTCAATAGGTTAGCTTCCTCACAGTTCTCTTTGTTTTGAGTACATGAAGATACATTTTTGGGGTTGTGTGCGAGATCTGCCTCCCCCCCCCAAAAAAAAATTCTGTTTATAGATGGATGTCTGGAATTTTGTGTCAACAATCACATCAGTGCTCCAGAATGCAGAGGGTTGGCCTATATTGCTAGCATTCATCAGCATATGTCCAAAACTTGGGTTTTTCTTTTCTTTTCCACACATTAACATTTATCTGCTATGGTCAGCATTCTCATGGGAATGTTGCCTTTCTCCAAATTTTGTAACATACATATAGTTAAAAACACACACACAACCCAAGCACCTCTATCCTCCATATCTGTGCAGTGTGTACCAATTATATTCCAAGTTGAAGTGTTATTAAAATGTATTTCTTCTCCAGAAATTTGGGGTATTTGCTATTTTTTAGGAAAAATAGTAGGGCCTGCACCTTGGGATTACATAGATGAATACTTACTCACTTTGTATGAATATGTGAAAGTATAATCTTTATAATCCTTTCTCTTAAACCTTCCTGCTTCCCGTGGGGATCCAAATGTTCTGAGTTCTTAAACACTCCTCTTTTCCCTTTTCCCAGAAATCATTACCGAACGCTTCGTCAGGCAATTATCGACATGGTTTTGGCAACAGAAATGACAAAGCATTTTGAGCATGTGAACAAGTTTGTGAACAGCATCACCAAGCCCATGTCCTCGGAAGAAGCACAGGTATTTTAAGTAGATGTATACTATGTGCATTTCTGTGGCACTTTCTTTTCATATTACCAGAATTCATACATCCACAACCAGGATCTGTGTTTTATGCTATTAGGTGCAAACAATGTCTAGGTGCTCAATCTCATAATAATATATTGGGCAATGTGCATTGTTTCTCTTCCGCTGATGGAAGGCATATATAGCAAAAAATACAGTAATTGGATTGCATGAACCAAATGTCACATAATGCATTGCATTGTCATACAATAAATCCACATCTGTACGATACAATAAAAGGGACATATAACACGGTAGGCTCTCTTGTACTGCTTCCTAAAACAACCTGGTTTGTGCAGGGTTGTTATTAAGGTGTAGTTTAAAAGTGTTATGATAGTGTTTTCATAGCAGTTGTGAGCAGTTATGCTAACCCCCACATTTAACTATGTATCTGCATTTCAGAATGAGGGTAGTGACTGTGAATGTACAACCAATCTCAAGAACATTCCAGATAACCAGACGTTGATTAAGCGCATGATGATCAAATGCGCAGATGTTGCAAATCCATGTCGCCCTCTAGAACTGTGTATTGAATGGGCTGGGAGGATTTCAGAAGAATATTTTGCACAGGTAGGGCTTTATAATTTTTAAAACTGAATACTAACATAGCTTTTAGCATGAGAAAAATAATTTTACTTCTAAAATGCTCTTGTGTTTTCAGGTGACTAGAAAGCACATGCTATCTGTATTTCCCGCCTTAGCTTCTACCATCAATAACAGCTTCATATGCCATGACAGAATTCATTAAGTATAATTGATCAAACAGTTTAAGCTAGCAGATGCTAAGCAAGTGCACACTCTCTTAAAAAATATACTGGAGTGATTCAGAAGCACTTTGAACATTGCAGCAAAAAACAACCAACCAACCTCAATTCGGCAAAGATTTGAAGAGTCTGCTGAAACTCAATCTTTGATTAGAATGTGTTATGTAACTGGAAAAAATGCATGAAAATAATGAAATCAGACTTGGATGATTGTGATGCAGTCAAAGAATCTCAAATTGTGAAATCTGTTATGTGAAGTGCTATTGGGGGGGCCTGGGTAAATTATTTGAACAGCCAAGAAAGGCAATGCAGTGCACTGACAAGTAGAGAAAATGGAAGGAACCAATTTGTGAATTGACACTTTACTTATTTTTTATTGAAGGCATTTATAATCATTATCATTTCTAAGCAGTATACATGAGACTTTATAGCCTGGAGAAGGCTGCACTGATGCAATAGGATGGAATTATTTTTGAGTGAGAGTGAAGTTCTCCATGCCTCTACAACATCATAGCTGCTTCCTGGTGTACAGCTATTCCCTAGTCCAGTGGTTCAATCAGCCACCTTTGAAGCAAACCATTCTGGAACTGCATCTGCTCACCTTGCCCTGTCCAACTGGTTTTAGCACGAGGCTGAGTGTTCATTCTTTTCCTCTGGCTCCTATTCCTGTATGGGAACAGCAGCAGCAAAATCCTAAATTGGACTTAAGAGATATTATTATTTCAATTTGTACCCTCCTTTTCTACATACATGTGCGCATGAAGTGCAAAATGCCTGTTCATCTTCTGGGATAGTTTGAAGCAAAAACTAATCTTCAGGTCCCATGGATTTTTTTTCTCTCATAAATTTGGGGATAGCAGTTCTTTGCTCCTGCTCCAGGTAGAATATTTTTAATTGCAACTGCAAGTAGGGTTTGTTTTCTGAGCTATTGCTCTGTACTGTTAAGATCATATATAGTATACACACATACACCCCCCAAAAAATTGTGTAATCTTTGCTTTGGCTGCACAAGTTGACTACAATTATTTTGTTTTCTACAGACGGATGAAGAAAAGAGACAGGGTCTGCCAGTTGTTATGCCAGTTTTCGATCGAAACACCTGTAGCATCCCCAAGTCTCAGATATCCTTCATTGATTACTTCATTATGGACATGTTTGATGCTTGGGATGGTGAGAAGTTGCATTTTCTTTTTTCTCTGTGGAAGAACAAATTTCTTACTGTTTCACCCCAAAGGTGGTAGGATATGAAAGTCTAAATCCATATGGCCAGGGACTGTGCATCACAGAATAAGCCCAAGTTCTGGGTTACCCAGCACCCATGGGAAATCTGTGCTAGTGCAGATAGCACAAGCTCTCAAGCTGGGGTGCTTGGAAATTGCACACCGCTGGTGAATGTGTACTTTTAATGGTGAATGCAGGTGAAAAAGAGCCTCCCCTAATGTACTGATTTTAGGGATTACTATGTTTTACGGTAGCTCAGTAAGGACTACAAAATTGCTTTGGATTATTTTTCAATAATTTTTAAATGGTTGCTGTTCTGAAATAAATAGAAACTATATTCTACAGCAACTGTTTGAGTGCAGAGCACAATTATGTAGCCAAAATGACACTGTCAACTCACAAGCCATCAGCAGGATTGGGAAAACAGCCCAATAAAAACTGAGCATGCTCAGCTGCTGCAGATGACAATGTAGGAATGGAAACTTGAGGGGGGGGTGTATGCTGAGTAACCTGAAAAACAGCATGTGTGGTTGACTGGCACCCTGAACAGGAGCATATTCCATGCTGCAGCATTTTGTTGCAGGTCCCACTTGTGCTTTTGGAGAAAGTTAGCCACTAATAAAACTAGGTATAATTTTTTGGATATACTATTCTTTGTTTAGTACCAGCAGTTGACTAAATAATTCAGTACAAAGGCTGAAGACTATTCACTGTGAGAACACTTCCCTAAAGTTGACACTATGTTTTTTCAGTTGTTGGGCTTTGACAGTAAAGCATTTCTTTTCTCTTCCTCTCTCAGCATTTGCACATCTACCTGTTCTGATGCAACACTTGGCAAATAACTACAAACACTGGAAAACACTAGATGAGCTAAAGTGTAGGAGCCTCCGGCTTCCTTCAGAGAACAATAACGGAAGCTGAAGGGAGGATATGGAACATCATAGCCTACCACTCACACTGTGAACCACTTACTGGTATGAACCCAAGAGGGGGCAATTTCCTTCACAATGAAGTAACCAACAGGGCAGCATGGAGAAGACTATTGTTTCTCAATTTTAAATTGTTCTAAATTCTACACAACTTTGTTTTTTTTATATAAAAATTATAATCGAGAAACCAATATATGCTTTATAGAGCTATTCTCTTTTTGTGGCACAATGGATCCTTTTAAATGTAATTTTATATAAAACAAATTGTTATAATTTGTCAAATTATATGATTGGTGTAAGCTGTTTGCAGGCCAGGATCAATTATACACATGAACTCCATGTAAGAGGGCAGAATTCTACAAAAAGCTAGCTTCTGTGGAATAACTATCAATAACATTTGACAGACATAAGCATTTTGGGGGAGCCTGGTTTACAGCAAATATCCTTTATGTGAAACGTAACCCAAGAACTTTAAAACAAAACAAAAAGCAATTGGAGAAAGAAATTTGAGGGGGTAAACAGCAAATTCAACTGTCCTTTCTTAGAGAAAAATAATTATTTTAATAGCAAAGTTAGTTAATTAACTATCAACTTTGTTCTCTTTTGTATATGGTACAATTTCTGTGATCTAAGCCTGTCTGTGCATACTGCTTCCCTCCTTAAGCTGGCTTTCCTGCGGACTTAAATGTTAGGAGGCCGTTTGCATGCACAATAGGAATGCAGCCACAGAAGTAGCTCCATTACTGAAGTTGCACAGTAATGTGGGGACTCGACACACTGTGGTTTCTAGATACACAAGGAGACCTGGGAGCTGCTTTACTTATTAAACCAATTTTGTATAAAATTTTAGTAGGCAGTAATGAAGCCCATAAATTTGAGCCAATCTGTTCTCTTCTCTGCCTTCTAAACAGGTGACAGTGAGCCATATTGTGAAAGTCCATACAAGCAACTAAGGTCAGGGACTGGCACTTGTTGCATCTGTTGCTTCAATAGCACAATCATGCTTTGTGATGTTGTACCGTTCCAGTTTTACATCTGCCTGCTAGAATGGGGAGCAGTGTGTAACAGATGCTTATTTACATGAGCCATAAGGAAAAGAAACCCTGCTTAGATAGATATGCACACCCTCAAGCCATATTCAAAAAGGTCTCCAGAATCTACACTTGTACAGAGGCATCCTATTATCTTTCTATGAGAAGGGAAATGGCTGCTCATACATTGTATTTCCCTCATAGAGGACAGGAAAGCCCCTGTGCCTTTATAGTGTCCTGGATTGCAGCCATAGTAATTACTCTTAAGACAGTGACCTTAATATCAAGGACCCAAGACAATGTATACGCTAAATATATAACGTTAAGAACAGAACAAAAACACAAGGTTCAGGTTGTATTGCTATTTGATGCAAGCTGCTTCAAGAGCCCCAGTTAAGAATGATGTATTTTTAAAAAAATAAAAAGTAATATAGACCTAATAAGATTCATTTTTAAATTACAGATAGGGAAGTCCTCTTGGGCAAGCCCCATAAAAATGGATGGAAGTTGCATTCTTACCCACCTTCCATTCATTTCACTAGGGCTCCTGTAGGAGTGAATCCTAGTGTGTTGTGCTATTTTCCAGAGTACTATGGAAAATTATTTCAAGTTTCAGGATACCCCCTGGAATGAATACTTTGAATAATTTTTAAATATACAATTGATAGACGGAGAATGGGAAACTTTTTATTTATTTCTCCTTCTTTATCATTTTCTCTCTTTTCATTTATTATTTTTATCTTTCTGTTACTTTTTATTTCCCTTTCCTGCTTTGCTCCTGCTTCTGGGTTTGTTTGTTTTTTACGTCCTCTAGTCTGGGTCAGTGAGGGGATTATATGCAAAGGAAGGTGGAGGATGGCAGGTGAAAGAGGCAGGGAAGATCTCCCAGGGTGGGAGAAGATCAGGAAGCTTTCAGGTGAGAGCTGGGAGGAGCCACCTCTTTCTGTGTGAGACAAGGATTGAGATCTACCTTTGAGAGAGGAACTCACATTTCCCCTCCTCTTTTTCTGTTTTTGTACTGTAGTATGAAAAGCCTTAATAAAATCTTATCAAAAGAAAGAATATGATTTATAGTTTTTGACCAGTAGTCATGTACTGACATAGAAAATCACAAATTGGCTATCAGTGACACAAAGTCCTTCAAATTAGTAACTATTACTTAACGCTGCACATTACAAGGGACTCTTCTAATGCTGAAATGCATATGATCTGATATAAAGTATTACACTGCCCTCCCAAAAGAGAAAAAAACTTTGGCCATCTCCATATTTTTGTGCTGAGTCCAAGGAGGAAAACCAGGTGAAGTAAACAATAGTGTTACTACTGATGAAAAATGATTGTAGCTTACATAATGTGCCAACATTTTTTCAATGTTTTGTATCAAGTTATGTAAAATACTGTAAAACATTCATATACTTTCCATGCAGAGAAATGTATAGAAGCTATATTTTTGTTAGAACTCTAACAGCACCTAACTTCCGTTGCTATGTATTATAATGCTACATTGTGTTGTTTAAAGAATGGTGTGTTCACTGCAGTATTCATAAGTTCCATTATGTACTAATAGCAAAGCCTATATCTGATTAAATTTTAATTCATTTTTATTCACATAGCCTTAGCTCCAGTTCTGTTACAGTTAAATGTGTGTGCCTTCTCTTCATGCTCTCATTCAATCCAATGTTTTCATCATCAGCATAATACACAGTAATTGAGACATATGCAACAAAAATCCTGGGGTTCAAGGTATATAACTTACAAATAGACAAAATGCACCTGTGTAAGACTACATTATCAAAGAAGCTCATCTCATTCAATGTCTTCCTCAGAGCAGTTTTAGTACCTTTTTGTTTGAGCATGCCCCTAGTGATTGCATGTTTTCTGTTAATACATGAGTCAACTTACATTTGACAAACTATCCCAACTGTTCTAGACAACCCTTTCAGAATCCACTGGTAAGAGGGGCCTCTCCCAAAGTTATCAGTCCACTTTAGTTCAACCCTACAAGATGCTATGTAATTTAGCTGTTGATATAAAGGAGTGGTTTCTATGAGGGTAAGGTAAGCTCTTTCTGCACCTCACAGTCCACCGTCTTTGGCAGTGTCATAGAGGAAAACTTGGCAGTCTTGTGGGTTAATAGTTCCTCAATGCTGATTAAAGTGTTTTTAAAAAAGGTTCCAGACAAAAAATACACAAAAGTTTTTTTAAAAAATACTTAAGACTTTAAATAGCTTATTTCTATTATTCATATTCCGTACCTTTATCCCATATATTTACGTCCTTTTAGATCCTAAGCTGCAAATCTTCACTTTGTTCTAACTTATGAAATAACAGTAAGCTGCGCAATCTCGACTCTCGTTCTCCATCTTTCCACAAAATAACAAGGTGATCAGCAGAGCATGTTGCCAGGCCATGTTCACTGAAGTACAGGAACATCTGCAACAAAAACTGTATCATCAATACAATATACTCAACTATAAGACTGTTTTTATCAACATTCACAAAATAAAGTCAATAAAGTAACACACTTGCCCAAAATGGTAACGCCTCAAGAACATAAAAGCAACCTGCTTAGGCTTACAGTAAGTATCTGGGAGACATCAAAAGATATAATCATAAAATAAGCCAAACAGAACTGGAGCAGCAGGAAGTATGGAGCCAATTCTGTGCTCCTAAAACAAATTCAAGAAGTGAGAGTAAAAACCAGGACCCAACGAACTATTTTAGGAATGTTCAAGGGCATGGGCACACCTAGCATTTTTTAACTCTTTAAAAAACCAAAACAAAACAGAAGAACATTATGCCTGCTGCTGAAGGTTACCTCAATAAGAAACAGTTTTTATGAACAAGCCCAACTTTGGGGCATGTTGAGCAAGTTGCATGATCTATTTTACATGCCAAAATACTGGTGCAAACAGGACAAATACATGATTATAGTTGCAGTTCTATACACACTTACCTAGGGATAAATCTCATGGAATTTAGTGGACCTACCTCTGGGTAAGAAGGTAGAGAATAGCACAGCAAGTATTTTCATATGTAGTAAGGACAATGTTGAACGAAGTAGTTTGCTTTTTCTAGTTCCTCTAGTTTATTAGAACTGTAACTGACATACCACTCAAAGGATGAGGCACCTGAGAGTCAAGGTAAGAGTTTTCTTCCCTGGTTTATGTCATAATAGAACACAAAAAGAACACAATGAATGCCTTCTAGGCTGAGACTTCAATTTTCACAGACTACTGTACTTGCATGTCTCAAGATCCAATTAGGGAAGAAGCTCTGACTCCTTATACAGTCTCAAATAAATCTAGTCCCTATGTAGCTGTTTAAGAGAAATAACCCTTATAGTTACAGGAACAATGGCAGCAATAATTCCAACAAACCTGAACAGCTAAAGAGTGCCCAATCAAATCCCCAATGAGATCCAAGGAGAAAACAGTGGTGCTCTCTGGTGGCTTTTTAGCTGTATGACTGGCTTGTTTACTTGTCCTTCCAAATCCCCACATACTGAAAAAACCTGGAAAATAGACAGTTGAAGTAAATGAGTTTCCTGCAGACTACATCAGGTTTCTACTTCTTCATTCGTTTGCTTCCTGCCAAAATCCAGACATTCAAACCAAGCGGTCGACCAAACTCCATGAACTTATCAGAAGGGCCATGGGATGTTTTGTTACCACAAGCTAGTAAAAGGTAAAGGTACCCCTGCCCATTCGGGCCAGTCTTGCCAGACTCTAGGGTTGTGCGCTCATCTCACTCTATAGGCCGGGAGCCAGCGCTGTCCGCAGACACTTCCGGGTCACGTGGCCAGCGTGACAAGCTGCATCTGGCGAGCCAGCGCAGCACACGGAACGCCGTTTACCTTCCCGCTGGTAAGCGGTCCCTATTTATCTACTTGCACCCAGGGGTGCTTTCAAACTGCTAGGTTGGCAGGCGCTGGGACCGAACGACGGGAGCGCACCCCGCCGCAGGGATTCAAACCGCCGACCAAGCGATCGGCAAGTCCTAGGCGCTGAGGCTTTTACCCACAGGGCCACCCGCGTACCACAAGCTAGTGGCTGTCAAATGATGGCCCTTAAGCTAACCAAGGCATATAAAATGGGATGCTGTCTAACTAAATATATTTGGCAAACATAAATATACTTCTATCCAGCCAACTCAATGGTCATTTTCTTACAAGCTTCTATATGAGAACAGCTGTGTAGAAATGGCTACATGTACATTCACATTAAAATGTCTCTTGCTTTCTGAGCAACTTTCACACAAACAAATTTAGCAGAGTGACTAAATAACATTTTAATTTTGTGCAGCCCTGGTCACTCTACTGGCATTCACCAGCATATTCCTTCTATCTCAGATACTGTGTAAATAATCCTCATTCTGGATACAGACCTGAAGGAACAGGTTCAGCTGTAAGCTGCTGTTTTTCTCGTAATTCCCATATGCGAACACTGCCATCTTCTGAACAGGAGATTATTTGCCTGCAAACCAAATTACTTATTACTGGACTTACTTATTACTGGAGCGTCATGCAGAACCATCATATTACTGCAGCGTCATTAGCAGAATTTCACAAAACAAAGACTCTAATTGTGACCTAATGTTTAGAATTAATGTTCCCAGTGGGCCTGCTTTCTGAAGGATACCTTGCTGAACATCAGCCCAGATTCAACTAACATCGACAACAGAGGTGATTCTGGCAGTCCCTGTCAAAGAAGGCAGGCAGGAGATATTGCCTGTCTTGAGTGTGGAGTAAATCCACTGCCACAAAGACCGCTCTTGTCCTGGTGCTATTTAATAACTACGTACTGCTGCTGGGAGAGATCTTTGGTCAGTGGTGGAGTCTGGGCTCTCAAATCTCAGCAGTGCCCTGTGCAACCCTAAAATCCCTCCCACCTCCGCCTCCCGACCTCCATTCTACGGCATTGTTGTGGCACCGCCTGCAGCATGGCATCCAATGTTAGCAATAATGTGTTTAATGAGCATGAGTGGGTTTCTTTTTGTTAATTGTACATCAGAATTTCAGTACTGCAATTTAAAAATAAATAAGTGAGCAATTCAGGCTAAAGACCAGGATTATCATGCAGCCAGGGAAGCAAAATATAACAGGTCAATGGTTGCTCAAATATTTTATAATGAAAGGTTGGGGGGTTGGGTGAAATGAACAAACATCAAGTGTGGCCCTCTTCATCTTTCTGGTGCTTACATTTTCAGCGTATGAAAAATTTAGTGTAACTTGCACCTGTTTGGAACTTTTGTAATGTGCAGGACAGTGGAGTCATGAGCAGTCTTCTGGAAGGCAATCACACGCTTCATTTGAAGGTTATACACGTATATGCCCTTTCCAACAGCAGCGAACACACACTGGAAAGAAAATTCAATAGAACATCTTAACAAAGCAGACATATTACGTTGTGTAATGGATTTCCAGGAGGACTGTGACACTGTTACCTTTCAATCTAAACCAAATGGCTCAGAAGGCAAGAGGTGCATAGCTCCTTAAACTGTAATTACCACTATAATTACTAAAATAGTTTTTGCATTATGCCTTAATTCATATAAATACTACAATCCTATTGCTGTCGGTGGCATCTAATAAACTATAAAGCACAGCCAGCTATTTCCATCCACAACCCTTTTCAATGCCCGTAGGTTTGTAAAACCTTGTTCTGCCAGACCTTTGCTGGCCTATGTGTTCAGTTTCTTTCTAGCCCCCTGCTGCTGACTACAATTTAACAGATTTACTACTGACTGGGTGCATTTGGTCAAAGAAATCTCAGCTTAATAAGCTGAGATATGAAGAAGCCACACATGACCACTTTGTTTCTCCCTTTGTGCAAGCAGGAAAACAAACCAGGAAGTCTCATTTAGCCATAGCTTGCCATTACAACTGAACCAGTAGCTATGATTTATGGCTTTCAAGTAAGAAAGGAAATTAAAAGCCAATGTTAAACTATAACTTTGTATTACGACTTGTTTGGAAGCCATTAACCACAGTTTCACCATTTGGAAATTATCAGGAAACTGTGATTAATTTATTATTATTATTATTATTATTATTATTATTATTATTATTATTATTCTGTATTTGTTGCTTTTCTTATTGCATTACTCAAAGTGACATATTAAAACCAATAAAAACTTTAAAACATAACCATTCAAATAAAAAGCTAAACGCAGTTAAACAAAAATGGTACTTAAGTAAGGCTTCCTGGCTTGTTTCCCTGCTCAAACAAGGGAGCAGCAAAGTGGCTGCCATGGGTACATTATGCTTGTTCATATCTCAGCTTTTTAAGATGAGATTTAATCATTTGAACAGGGCCACTGTGTTCCTTTGCATTTTATGACAGTATAATGTGTATATTTTATGCTACTGTTTTTATGGCAGAACCACAACCTACAAGCATTAAAAAATGCCTAACACAATGTGTTCTAAAGTAAGTTAGTAAACCTGCAACAAAACATTGCTGTATTGTCCCAGCTGCTAACATGGGTAGGGAATCCCACAATCCTAATTAGGTCTGCTGGGCCACTTTGGGCAAACCACACCCGCCTATCAGTCAGCTGATGTCATATGCTATCAGGTGCAGAGATCTGTTATTTCCAGACTAAAC